CAGAGGAACTCCGACACCCCCATACATCCGCAGAGGTCCTCCGACACGCCCATACATCCTCGGAGGTCCTCCAACACCCCCATAGGAGCTCCGACACCCCCAGAGGTCCTCAAACACCCCCAGTTCGGGACTCAGTGGGGTTTCGGGGTACAGGGTCGGTGCAGTGACGTCACATCTCTCACCTCTGCCGGTAACATCGCGTCACGTGATCCAGAGATATCGAATGGGCGGGGATTGAGCGGCGGCGGCGGGGAGTGACGTCAGATAGGGGCTGGCTGCGGGTGGTGGGTGTTGCGTGCTGAAGGACACGTGATCAGCGTACGCACGTTACGTCCTGCACGCGTCGTCCCCGAGTGTGGCTGCGACACCAGCCGAGGCCGAACCGGAACCAACTCCGATCCAAACCTGCCCGGGGCTCCGGGAGAGCCAGGTGAGGGGTCCACACTGCTCGTTCAACAGACTGCATCGCCCTGGACCGAACACACCGACTGCTCACCGGTACTAGGCCAGCTGTCATCACCGTACTCTGGGCATGCGTGTCCCCGCTTTACAGGTGGTAAAGCCGGAGGACGGGGATGACGAGCCTCCCTTTTCTCTTCCTTCCCCCCAATATGTGTTGTTCCAGCCCCAGATATCCTCCGTAGATACTCAATTTACCGAACCCCAACATATCCCTCCTCTCCCACCACCGAACCCCAACATATCCCTCCCACCACCGAACCCCAACATATCCCTCCTCCTACCACCATGGAACCCCAACATATCCCTCCTCCTACCACAACGGAACCCCAACATATCCCTCCTCTCCCACCACGGAACCCCAACATATCCCTCCCCCACCACAGAACCCCAACATATCCCTCCTCTCCCACCATGGAACCCCAACATATCCCTCCTCTCCCACCATGGAACCCCAACATATCCCTCCTCTCCCACCACGGAACCCCAACATATCCCTCCTCTCCCACCACGGAACCCCAACACATCCCTCCTCTCCCACCACGGAACCCCAACACATCCCTCCTCCTCATCCCCCGACATGGCACAGTCAGGTCATGTGATGCATGATGAGGTCCTCGGGGGAGGAGTTGATGGCCCCTCTGGATGGGATGTTGATCTGTCTCTACGTCCGGTTGCAGGTATCTGAAGCACAATGTACAATGGAATTGGGTTACCTACACCGAGGGGCAGCGGCACCAATGGCTACGTCCAGAGGAACCTGTCATCGGTCCGCCATAAGAAGGACCGCACCGACTACAAGTCCGAGGAAGAGCTGAAGAAGCTGGAAAGTCTCCTGATGAAGAAACCCAACCAGGAGATCCTGGACCATGAGCGCAAGAGGAAGGTGGAGCTGAAATGTCTGGAGCTGGAGGAGATGATGGAGGAGCAAGGGTGAGAGGTCTCTCTGTGTGTCCGGGGGGGGTTCTGTGCGTCCTTTGGGGGCGTTCCTCGGGCCTGTGCGGCCGGCTGTGGGGCTCTCGGGTCTGTGCGT